GCTGGTTAAAAAAAGGACAGAGTTATTTATCCTCAGTCAGCATCCATGCAAGAAGTCTAGCTTGTTTTGCTCGTATAAAATCTGAAATCTGGTCTCTCTTCGCAGAGCAGATAAGAAACAGGAAGTGACTAGTGGAAGCTATTTAATATTTGTGAAATATGTCCAAAGCTGGGTTATCCTGAATGTCAGTCTGAGGGCATCCTGCAGCAGCAACTACTCAGTAGAAGAATGCAGGGGAGGGAGGTAGCATCTTCCAAACCAACTGCCCCTCTGGGATTTTAAGTAACACTGAGCCAGACTGAGCAGCACACAGCAGGTACATGGTGTCTGAGCATGACTGGATTCTTCCCTCAGGGGGTTTTTATTGTTAGGAGCGTCAGTATCAAGTTACATGCCTCGACTTTACAGTACAAAATGCTAATAAATACACTACCACTTCATCAGTAATGCTCACTCGGGTAGCAGAGGATATAAATTCTGTTATTTGTGGGTGGAAAGGAGATTTAAAAGGAAGGAGCTCTGATTCATTGATAGGCCTCCAGTAATACAAAGTAGGTCCAGCAAACACACTGAAACCAGACACACACACAAAAAGCGTACACAAATTAATTACACTGTCACACATCCACACAGAAAAGGTCAACATAAAAAAACAGTAGCATGAGGTTCCACTTTAAGTGAGAAGCTCTGCTGATTCTGCGTTACTGATGTACGAGCCAACATTAAACGAAAAACAAACCTGACTGCTGCGCATAAAAGCAAAAGTTCGACATTTTGGGCTACGCTTAATTTACTTTCTGGCGGACATGAGAGCGATTGATATCACTTCCATATTTGTCCGTTAATTATAAAAAGTACCAGCACTTAGAAAACTCACTAATTAATTTGTACAGAGCAAATGAGATATAACATGTTAAGTAGTGCTCATCTGTATGACTGGGAGCTGTTGCCAGGCAACCAGTGGAGACTCTAGGAACTATGCTTGGTTCATAGAGTGGTAAAGGCATGGCGCACCCTACTCTCCCTCTGATTGGGTAGTTCTTGTTGCCTTTATTGGTTGGGCTGGTTAGGTTTAGGCGTGAGGAGTGAGACTGGTTAGGTTTCGGGCGTAATATAATATCTGATTTCATGCACAGGCTCTGGTTTAGGGGACCTTGGACCTCTGGGACTGGGCTCAGTAGACCCGTTCTGTAATACACCCATGGGTTAGGGTAAGAATATTATGGTAAGCTGATCAGAGGCAGAGTACGCCTAATTAGGGTGTCTTCACCATTGTCGGAAAAGTAAACCTGCAACTGGTTCATGGATGTATTGTTAGAGCCACATTCTGGACCCAAAGATGGCACCTATTCAGTCCAATGAGACAGCTCGCCTGGTGCACATAGCAAAAAACTTTTAGGTATGTGGGCTTCTGAATGTGTGTGAGTTCCTGCATTATCCCATAAACTTAAAATTGTGGTGGCATCCAGATTTTTAAATCATTTTTCTCAGCTCAAGTTAAGTTTTACAATCGATCAAAAATTGATAACAGAATCATAACTGCCCTTGTTAGCAGTTCGAAGTGTCCCATAAACAGTTTCACAGACGTCTCTTTTAAAATAGTGGTCTGTGGGGAGAATGCTTTTTGGGGCTGCAATACTGCACGTGACCTCTGGGTGGAATTGGAAGCAAGTGGCAGAGCAATATCCAGCTCTCTAATACATCCATGGCCTTTTTACCTCATTAAATGGCGGATTGTCGATTTTACACTTTCATTTTTTTTTTGTACCGGATTAAACAAACAAGTAATAATGTGTTAATCAGTGAGCTTTAGAGGTGCTGGTAGGTGGTTCTTGTTGCAGTTGGACCAAGCCAAGCCAGCTGTGTCCAGTCTTTATGCTCAGCTAAGCTAACCAAGAAAGCTAGGCATGAAAGCAAATAAGCCTATTTCCCAAAATGGTGAAATATTCCTTTAATGTCCGCACTGAGATAAAGGGTTATCTTAAGACACAAGTCCAATTTCTTTCCCCAGAAAATATATAACTATAATACATGAATTTCAACAAAATGTTGCCAAACCAAGACGCTGCTTTGTGGAATGAGCGCCTTAATTTCGTCACATGGAAACATGAAAGCAAATCACAGCCAAAAGGACAAACATCAATCACTACTCACAATGATTCTGAGTCTCCCCTTCATCCTGTCATTCATTCTTACTGATAGGAGCAGTAAAGAATGAAGATAGCGCCCCATCAACAAGGCACATTGGAGCGTAAAACTTAGCCATGCAATAATAAGGCCTTTTCAAACACTTCTTATCATTACGATTTTAAGAATGATCTCTCAGAATCATGCTAGTAATGACTGCCTTTGCTTAAATTATAGTTTTGAAGCCAAATCTAAATCAGAAATAGTTTTCCTTCATGTTAGTTACAAATGGTGTGGAAAAAACAGCTTACACATTGTCAGTCCTGCGTCTTCAACATGTCAACTTAAATGTGAACACCTGATCCTTTAGTTCATCTCAACATTGGAGAAGAATTTTTCAATGAACAGCAACAATATATATCTTTTCATTAAGGTCAAAAGGGGTTGATGCAGTAATCCTGACATGAAAATTTGTTTTGTATAAAGCTAAGACATCATCAAAGGGGAATTTGATTATAAAAGAAAAATTACTGAAAAACTATTCAGGCACTGAACAAGAGAATTTGCACTCTGAGCCATCTTAACCCCGCTCTGTTGACTCAACGCGGCCTCGTTTAAACACCTGAACATGAATCCCTTCTTTCAACCCCACTGAAGAAATAATAACAGATATGACTGGAGCACGAGAGCAAAACGGTGCAGCGGAAATCTCACTCTGGCTGATCAATGACATTAATTACAACTAAAGGATGAGCGGAGGGAGGGAGCATTTGCTGGTATTCAGACCACTGAAACGACAGCAGTAATACTGACAGATTGATACATCTCACTACCATGTAAATGCATGCACTATGAATACTTGATTAAATTATTGCCCTATTGCACATTCAGTAGCACTGCAAGTTTTATGAAATGGACCTGTTAATGGACGCTGAATCCTTTCTACTGATCTCTCCTGTCATACAGACGTCGACTGCATTGCACCAAAAAATGCCCAGTGTTGTTGTGTTTCTGTCGGCTCAAGTAGCAAGCACTGTCACTGTAAAATGACTTAAATGTTAGCGGACTCTGGTCTGAATTCCAGTACATACAACTTTACATCAAAGCAGCTCAACCACTTTAACTGAAGACTGAATTTAAGGGACAGTTCATCTCCTTTTACCTGTAGTGCTACTCATCAGTCTAGATCAGTGGTTCCCGACTGGTCCAGCCAGGGGGTCCAGATTTCTCTTCAGTCATTAGTTCAAGGTCCACGCAGTTTAATAGATTCAGCATCACACTTGCATTTGGCGATGCTTTCTAGGTAGTTTTCTGTTTCTGTCGGTTAGTCACTCACTTTTCAGCAGGAAATAGCTCTTCAAAATGATACCCGTGACCCACTTTTGGACCGCAACCCACCATTTGGGGACCACTGATCTAGACTGTTTTGGTGTGAGTTGCTGAGTGTTGGAGATATCAGCCGCAGAGATGTCTGCCTTCTCTCGAATATAATAGAACCAAGTGGCACTCAGCACGTGGTGCTCAAAGGGCCACAACATGCTTTTGAAAAACTCAGTAGCAATGTCTCTTTCCAGAGATCATGACTCAGTTACTCAAAGTAAATCCACAGATCTTGATGTGAGCAGTTTCATGTAGGAACTATTTTTTTTTCTACAACTGACAACCACATCACCGCGCAGAAGGAAGCGTGCAACATTACAGCTCAGTTGCGGAGGATGTCATTAATGTTTAGATCTCGCGCCATCACAAGCACGAGCATCTTGTCCATCACCCTCTACGCTGTGATACAGTTGCCGGGTATACTTTGGTAGACAGAAAATAGTTCCAACATGAAACTGCTCACAACAAGGTCTGTGGATTATCTTGAGTAATCGCATTATGATTTCTGGAAAGAGACATTGCTGTTGAGTTTTTTATATTCAAGAGAAGGCAGATATCTCCAACACTCTGCAACTCTCACCAAAACAGTCTAGACTGATAAACAGCACTACAGGTAAGAGGAAAAATATGTATTTTCAACTTTGGGGTGAACTGTCCCTTTAAGACCTTTCAAAATCACATCAGAAATGAGGATAAAAAAAAGCCTTTATATAAAATAATTCACTTCATTTTACTTGACAAACACAAACATAAGGAGCTGACACACTATCATCACTTCATGTGTGTGAATTGAACTCAGCTTGCAAAACGTACATAGATCTAGTTTATCCTGAAAGTTCATTCTTGACTCAGGAAACAGTTTGACAATAAAGTCCTGAACTCAACTGGAGCTTTCAACCATCTCCGTCTTCTGTAGAAGGCCGTGAGAACGTTTAAAGTACCAAAAAGGCTAGCAAGTGGGCCATATGTCAAGATGTTTTTCACTGTTCATGCCTATTCTGTCTGCTTCGATCGATTTAGTGTTATCTCTTATAAGCTTTTTTTTTTTTTTAAAAAAGGATTGTGACAAAATGAATTTCAGGCTGCATTTGTCTTTTTTCATGACACTTTCTTTTACCTCCATGTCCATTCTGCCTCGACACAACCAAAAGTTCAAGGGAACGTTACACAAAAACAAAGATTCATATAAGTGAAACGCAGTCTGGGAATCAGAGTGTGTGGAAGAACAAAATCACACCACAGACAACTTCTCTCGGCTTTAGAGCCCACTGCCAGGCTACAAGAAAGGTATAAAATAATTTCGTTTAAATAAATAAAATTCTTAGGAGAAAGAAAATAAAACAATAAAATCAAATAACTGGGATAAAACACGTGACGCCTCGGACAAACAGCTAATAAAAATTCCCTCCCAGAAAATAATTTCTTTAACTGATTTTTTCTCTTCTTTTCTCTTTTTTCTTTGTTTTTTTTTTGCAAAAATGAAAATATAGTTGTTTTTTTTCTCAATGTTCTTTGCAAGTGTCCATTTTAAAAAAAAATTATAGTACCAATGAGTCCTCTTTGAAATATATCTACAGCTGTACAATATTTCTTGCAAGTGAAATTCATGGAAAAAAAAAAAAAAAAAAAAAAAGAGAATTAGCGCATCATTTTACATAAAAAAGCCTCTTTACAGATATGGGTTAAAAAGGGTCATAATAAACAATATAAAAAGAAGATAGAAAGACAGCACTTGCTAATGAGATTCTTGGAGATTCGTCTTCTCTTCGATGGCCTGTTTCACTATTTCAGCCAACTTCAAACGGTCGACTTTATCAGAGAAGGATCGTCCTGCAAGGAAAGAGCTGGTGGTTAAGAACAACAACTTACACAGCGAAAACTTACCAATACATGTGTAAGTGATGTTTTTAACTGGTGAAGAGACCAAGACTGTACTTCTTAACTAATTCAAACTAACCTATCTTTTGTCTTTTACTTTTAATCTGTGTTTTATTAGGCTTTAACCACAGCGACTATTAGACTGTTTTGTTTTTAATAATTAGGGCTATTAAGTTATTTAAATTATTGATTGATTCTGCCATTTTTCTCATTTAAATGTTTGGTAGGGATGCAACAAGTGTGAAATTCTGGGCTGATGCTGATACCAATGTTTAAAATAAGAATTTGACCAATAGCTGGTACCAATCCCAATGTTTTTTGCTGTTATTTATTTTGTCTTGTTGATATTTATTCCTCCTTTTGTGCTGAACTATTATAAAGTCATTCAGCCCTTCATTACACTACCCTGTGAATGAGTACAAATTCCATCATCCATATTTGTGAAACAAGTATTAAGGTAACCTTTCACATGAAAAACATTTTAAAAAAAAACTGCTTCAAAAGACTTTAACTGTGTTTAATATCATAATTCCGTCTCTACTATCTTTTTTAGATTGCGGTGAAAACATCAACAAATTCCTCCTTCAAACGACTGTATTTATTCAAGTTTCTCGCCAAAAACTACACTTAACCTTCACCCAACACTAAATTTTACTGAATAAAGTTTGAACACATCATAAAGCAGCTCAAGGCAACCTCCGTCAGAAATAAGCTCTGGCCACTAGCTGTTAGCAGCTAACAGCTAACGCTAACTAGTCCTCCTCTTGAAAATTTCAAAATGGATTTCTGGTCCACAACGTAGCACTCCTAGGGAAACAAGAAGACGCATCCCCTAACCCAACAATAGTGAGTTCACTTTGTCTTTTCGTCCCAAAGGCCTCCCATGAAAGATCTCTGTTTCTCCCAAACATGTTTCCTATTCGCTGGGATAACGGGATGCTTTTAGTCTCGAGCTCTGCTGTTTAGCCTACACAAAATTGACGTGACACAACAGAAGAACACTCCTGGCCACCGCCACTGGTAAATATCATCTTATTTGCTGATAGGCTGATGGCTCTTAACAAGGTGAATATCAGCCAGTACTGATGTTTGGCCTATAAAATGGTGCATCCCTACTTTTTGCTCTTGAAGATATAAAAAAGGATGTAAAAAGGGTTTCACATAATACAAAGGTAACACCTTGTAATTTCTTGTTTAGTCTCAAACCTAAAAAGATTCAATTTACTATCTCATTAGTCTCGCTCACCAGACCTTTCTCAAGAAAAGAAAGGTCTGGCTGGGCCGACTCTCACTTTAAGATTGGAAAAAAAAACGCCCCGGCTGCTTGTATTTCTTTCAACCAATCACAGTCGTTCTGGGCAGTGCCACAGCAACGGTGCGCTTGCAAAAATACTGCCGGGGGAAACAGGTTTTGGTGTAACACGCCCACAAAAATATCACCTACATGACGCGAACCGAACCATGGCAGAAAAATGGCTACATCCCCGCAAGATCAAACATCACAAAAATTAGTAAAGGACGTGTTGAAAACGGTTGAAAACTGCTACACAACCGGAGGTGGTAGGGCGGGACTTCAGCGGGTGGCTCGTTCCACCCAATGAGAGGCTGATCTATGCAGTGAACTTCGCCCACTCAGACTACTATCTCATAAGACAAAGAAAAGCTGCTGATCCTCACATTTGACAGATCGCAACCAAGTAATGTTTGGCTTTTTTGCCTAAAACAATGAATCAACTGACCTGGTCGTTTCAGCTCTACTGATAATCCATCAGTCCTCAACCATTCTTATTAGTCCTCTTTAAAATAAGGACCATGCACTAAAAACATTAATCTAAAAATGAGAAGAGTTGATTTATGCCGGATTTAGCTATAAACTGATGTCCATCTGCAGTTTCTATTTGAACTGCAATGTAACGTTTGGTCTTGCATATGTATTTGTTGATATGGAGAATGGAGAGACAATTTTTTTTGGCAGGCAGATGAAGCGAACAGGCCGGATATAAACCACAGCTTTTTCTAGGTTTTAAAAAAAGGTAAAACAACCCCTTTGCTTTCAATTGTTTGATACAAAAGAAAATTAGAACAGTATTTGCCAGATATAGATTAAAATAAAATGGCACTGACCATCCCAGCTGAGCCCCTGCAGGCCGTCTCTCAGCAGTTTACAGTCTCTGTTGAACCTCCAGGCTTCATACATCACTTCATTCAGCTTCTCGTCCTCGTTCTCTCCTGGACAAACATGAGGGACTATCTCAGCATTACAGGTGTCTTACACTGATAGCCCATTCAATTTGGGAAAAACAGAACATTTCTAATAACTGATCATTTATTTCCTGTGCACACCAGCACTTTCATTGTTTTGTTTTAATCTCTGGCAAAATACTTCTCAGTTTAATAGAAATGACTGAAAAGAAAACAATACTGTAATAGCAATGAAAATATGTTGTCTGTGGTGTGCTGTATATAGACAATATATACAGAGTACAAATTATGTGTAACTGGATCAGACACTTAAAGTTAACTTTTAAGACCTTTTCAAGATATTTTTTGACTAAATTAAAGACATTCAAATATTGCAGGTAAATGTAAGGGTAAGTATATACATGTGGTCGCATGCAGAGGTAGGTTTTATATAGGTATGTGGTTATTAAAGTGAAGTAAAGTGGTAGGTGCAAGTATAAAGACAGAGGACAGTTTAAGATTCAGTGGTAGGTTTAAAGATTTGTAACATCAGAAACGTGAACTTTCGCACAAGAGTTTGAATCATTTTGACAAAAAGAAATTAAAAGGTGGGTAAATTAAATTAGATAAGATGTTTGTGGCAATTCAAATTTAAGACTATGTCATGGCTTTTACAGCCTAATATTTATTACACTGAAAACTTAAAGGTCCTGCAGACACCCTGGTTATTTCTTTATTGAAATGCTGGTTGCACATCTGTTTAATTCATTAAAATTTAATGTCAGTGTGTGTTTCCTGACCAGCTTGTGGTAGTATACACTGTGCAATGACATCTCGTAATTTTTCCAGGGCTACGTTGGAGTCTTCTCCTCCGTTCTCTGGGTCGTGAATGAAGAAACTATCACTGGGCTTGGGGCTGCAACAGACACCAAAACACATTTCAGACCAAACTTTAATATCTTATCAAATACAAGGGCCCCAAAATACATAATAACATTATATGAACAATCAGAGATCCTATTAGAATAAAAGTAACTGAGGAGAAACAGACTTTAGTTTAGAAAGGTTGATAGGACAGACTGATGCAAGGACTTCAACAAAAGCAGTCATACCCTAGTAGTTTCCGCTTCCTGAGGATTGGGTTGTTGACAGAGTTTAAGGGCTTCAGGCTGACGTTCAGATCCTGAATTCTCATGTTGGCCAGCTGCTCAGCATGGGCCTGCTGGATACCTGCAACCACTGCCTGGAGGGGAGAGGACAGACGGTAAGAAAAGATGGAAAAGGACGCCAATATGCTATATGTTATACTAAGTAAGCTGGTCCGTTTATCCAGGAACAGCAGCAGGACTGTACAACACTGGTGCAGTGCAACCTATTGCACTTTTAACTTCTTACTCACTTTGTCCATCATCATCTGGGCGGACGGCAGCACGTTATCTAGGGCCTCGGTGCAGTTGAGCCAAGGGTGAGCCAAGACACCTTCAATTGTCAGCCTCTCCTCTGGCTTTACCTTCAGCAGCCTGCAGGGGGCAGACGAGGAGAGGAGGCAGTACAAATTATTGGACAGAAGAAGCATGAATGGAGAAGTGCGCAGAGGGATGGCAAAATGTAAGTGGGAGAAAAGGAGGCCCATAATTGAGCAGTTAGAATGGAGATGTTTGAGTTACTAAGATGAGAGCAGGGGAAAAGAAAAAGACTCACTTGCGTACGATGTCCTTGGCCATCTCAGAGATCTGGCTCCACTCATCTTCAGGGAAGTCAAAGCTGCCCGTCATGATCTTCTTCCTCATGTCCTTCGGGATGGTGCGACTGTGGTGCTTAGAGTAGAACGGAGGGTAGCCACACAGCATCACGTAGATGATCACACCGAGAGACCACAAGTCACAGCTCTAAACAAGGGTAGAAAAAGAAAAGAAACATTTATGCAAAAACATTTTCATATTATAAACAGCAGATATTCAGTTGTGGTATCCGAGGACAAATACTTGCCGTAAGAAGTCAAAATGCTTTGTTCAACAGCAATGTTAATATTGGCAGCTATTTTTGATTTAGTCTTAGTCTTTACATGAAAATGCTTATTAGATTTAGTTACATTTTAGTCAACTTTTAGTCATTAATTTTACTTAAAATGTTTTTCTCTAATTAAATTAGGCTAATACAGGTATCAACACTTTGACATCAAGGTGACAGTTTGTATCAAGTGTTGAAATCTCATTAAAATATAAAGAATTTACACATTTGCATTTGTCCAGCGGAGTTTTTGACAGATTTGAAGGATGATTTACGGGTCTACACTTACTGATCATCATTTGAAAAGCTAAAAACCTCAAACTTTGATACCATAAATAACTAATTTGAGCCAACGTGACAAGTATCTGTACCCAGGTTTACTGTAAACTCTGACTTATCGATCTCATTGTTAAAAGGCAGCTTTATTTCAGCGTGAATTCTTTCTAAATCTGTAACATGTTAAGTTGGTTTGGGTCTCACCTTGTTATAAGTATAAGGAGTGGGTGAGGTAGGTATAATTCCAGACTTTTCCTTCTGGTGTCTTCTTTGAGCCTCAAGTACCTGGACAGAAATCACAGCAGAAGGGATACAACATGGAAATATGCATCAGCTTTCAACATCATTTAACATTTAAGACTGATGTGTGTACAATTAACAAGTATTTCTGGATGACCTCTATGTTTGCTTGCTTGTTACCTGAGGTGCTACGTAGTAGGGAGTGAACTGAGGGGTCATCAAGTCTCCTTGATCAATTTTGGCAAAGCCAAAGTCACACAACTTCACAGGTGCATCCTGTGGAAAGAAACAAAGAATCACAGAGTGAGAAATGTGAACATGGAGTGAGCATAGAAACAAATTTCTGGCTGAGTTTACTTGACAAAATGTTTTAAACGGGAATATATTCAGGTTACAGAGAGATTGCTGAAGGTGCTTCAGAGTTAGGGTGGATTTTGAAATCTAGGACTGAAAATGCAAGTTGGATATTTCCAAATGCTTCACAGTATCTTGACCATTTTGTGCTAAATACAGCCAGTAATTTTTCAGTGTCTCAAAAAGTAAAGCTGCAGCCTTACAGTCCAGCAAAGTTTATTTTCCTTTGAAGCAAAAGCATTAGTATTGGTGCAATTTTAAAACTGCATATTTGAGTCTGCAACTTCAGCGACTTACCAGAGAGTTATCCTTGAAGAGCAGGTTCTCTGGCTTCAGGTCACGATGTGCAATATTTAGGGAGTGACAATGTTCCAAGGCTTGACTGATCTAGAGTGGGAAGAGACATCTGACTGAGTCACCACTCTGTGTGTGTGTGTGTGTGTGTGTGTGTGTGTGTGTGTGTGTGTGTGTGTGTGTGAGTGAGTTTGTCAAAACAGCCTTTAAAAAACAATTGATTTGAGCTGGTGTGTGTGTTGCTTCTTTTAACCACAAGTCTCACTTTTCAACTGCCTCATGCTGCTTTGGCCAAGCAGGGGGGCTGCTAATGACATGGGGAGGCCGTTACACACAAAGAAACACGCGGACAGACACTAGTGGACAAAGACAGACTGACTGACCAGAATTAAATATCTAGAAAATTACAGAGGACATAAAACAAACCATCCGTATTTGCATGTGTCTTCACTTACCTGTTTGGTGACCTGACTGGCCATTTTTTCAGTAAAGTGCCTGTGCTGACTGATTCTGTGGAACAGCTCGCCACCCTCCATCATCTCCATAACGATGAGGAGCCTCGCTCTGTAAGAAACAAGAGAGGTGGTGTGGATGTGTCAAAGGAAAGAGCTGAAGAGAGGAGACGGATTTAAATAACTGTAATTCTACACAAACAAATTCTCACACATTGAGCTCTTTACCTCGGGCTGGACTCATGCGGGAACTGGACACTGTTGGCGTAAACCTCCAGGATTTGCACTATGTTTGGGTGGTTGGCACACATCATATGGAGACGCACCTGCGTAGAGGAGAATCGGACACCCTGTATGTAGTAATTCATTTTAAAACCAGGCAAAATGACAACAACATAAAAGAGCACCCCACCCTGAGAAAATTAATCTTTTTGTCCTGAAGTTCTGGTGTTGAATGAGGGCCTTTCTCTGCCCACAAGTGATAAAAATAAAATAAAGATGACACAGCGGCTTGTGTCTATGAAGCTGTTTTTCATCACTGTTTCATGTCGTTCAGGATGTCTAGATGATATCTAATTGCAAATTGTGCAAACCAAGAAACAGTGGATAGCAAGAAGGGTAACGATAGACCTTTTGACATGTCACTCTGTCACTGAAAGAAAAGCACAGGTAGGTGTAAATATTAAATCAAAGATGGCTGAATTCTATTTTGCGGCTTCAGTGTGGGCATCCTAGTATTGTTCATGCTGGCTTGCTGTCACTGTCATGCCTTGTAGTGTTTGCCCTATAATTGTACAGGACTGGTGACCCACACTATGCCAAAAAATAATGCCAAAAATAATGGCAAATATCCATTCCAGTGTTTCCCCGAAATTCATTCGGTAACAATGCACTGCTCTAAGTCCATGAATAAGGCAAGTGTCTGTGGCTACTTCACATGTCTGTAATATCAGCAGGAGAGTCAAGTGTCTGTTATGTAAACTGAAGTCAGCTGAACAGGTGACATGAAGAGAACGTTGACAGAAGGCTATCAGTTACAAAGAGGCTTGGTAGTGAACGACACACAAACGTTCTGACGCATTCTCTGTTTCTGTGTTTTAGCTGAGCTGGAAAACAGTATTTGGTCTGGCGATGATGTTTTGCCCTCATTGTTCTCCGTGAAGTTTGTCTGATGTTCTTCTTCACTGTTTTGGAAAAAGTAAAAGGCAAGTCAGCTTTAAAAGTGACATATTTTCTTTTTAAATAAGTGCTGTGTGGTGGATCTAATTTATGCCATGTGGTTCATGTGGGGTTTCAAAAAGGAGCTGATAAATAATTATTTATTTTATTAAATATTCAAAGGAACTTTAAAGTGTTTAATTTGAGAATGTAATTCGGTGAATGAGTGCTTAGCTGTGTCACTAGTCCTTAGCCATTCAACCATGAAATAGGAACTTTTATATCCTGATATCAATACGTGTGGTGGCACTGTAAATTCAGTTCTAATATTACCATAACAAAGCCCTGCTATTTAACTTGACATTACCCAAAAGGGGTCGATACAACAACAGACAGTAAAGTGATGCCTCAGTAACTACAGAGAGAATCCCAGCTCATTTCTGTGGTTTCACCGTGTACTTGTTAAATCGCCAAACCCTGACACAACGTCTACACAGCCCGTGCAGTGAAAGCAGCTTCAGTTCTCTGTCTGTGTCTACACAAGACACGATCAGGCACAGTTCTGAGTGCAGGTCACCCATGTTTTGGCGTCAGATCACTGTTGTTGCACATGTAAAACAGGAAACAAATAAACTCTAAGCATGCAAAAACATCTCCTGTGTAGTCAAGCTGTACCAGAAATTCAGTTACCCACTCTCCGAGCTATGTGCATTACTCCTTGTAACATTTTATTGCTTCCTGTAAACGTGAAAGCCTTGTTTACTTTGTGTTTACCTTCATCAAGTCATGTTTGACCTGACAAAAATCTGCCTTATGAACTGTTTCCAACAGATTCTACAATTGTAACGGCAAATTATGTTGCCAAGACTTAATAAATCACAAATTGCAAGACAGGCAAAGACAGTGTTACCAAACGTGTAAACTGAGCTGATCATTATTATGCATACAAACAAAACCACTGCCTTTGAATATAGCATCCGAGGTACACCCTCATTCAAAAAATGATAGAAGTGGCTGAAGAATACTTTGTTTGGTGGTAATAATCTAATCTGCATTTGCTTCTCAGTGACAGCTTTCACACTTCAGCAGCTTGTGTGTGAAGAAAATCTGTGTTGCTTGTTTTGACTGCATGTCTCGCTGCTTAACTGCCGTAAAAGCTGCTCGATCAAAACAGAAGGCTGCTAATGACATGGAGGGGCTGCTAGACATAGTGTTCACCACAGGAAGACATTGTTACAGACAAAGACGTCTGTACAGACCGACAGAGGAGGCACAGGAGACAAATTGACGAGGAAAGAAAAACAGGAATGAATAGAGGCTGATAACAGGCAGGCAGACAGAACAAAGCATATTGATACAGCCACAGTCAACACACAACAGACATTCATCAAAAACCACAACAGTGTTTCCTCTTACCTCATTCCTGGCCTTGGGGCGATCAATGAGGATCTTCAGGGCCAAGCGTTCCTGAGATGACTTCTTCACACAAACTCTGAACAGGAAGAAAACAAGAGTAAACAAACATCCCATGATAACACGATCTGTGTCACAGATGTGAGCATGTATGCAAAGACTCAATCATGTAGTTTCGGCAATGTGGCAGGGCTTTTGTTACCAAACAGTCATTGATGTCGGACCTATCCGAGTTATGTGCTCTTTGTAAATGTTATCACTCTGTATATGAAATAGGAAACCAGGCATTTTGCCACCATTCTTGTTTGTATGATAAAGAAGTGTGATCATTATCAAGTCAAGTACATTTTATTTATATACCCACGAACCACAAATTTGTCTTAGAGGACATCAAACGTTCAATAAAATGCCAGACAGTCTGCACAAATACAAAACACAGCTGGTACCAATGTGTGGTCTAATAAAGTTTGAGAGCTTTTTTGTTACTCTCTGCTCTTTCCTCAAACAATGTGTGTTCACGATGTTTTCCAATAAAAAGGTACACTGTTCAAGACATCCATTAACCCCTTGCCACAGGTGTTCCCCTTTAGTGACAAAATCCTCTGTCTGACAGTATCATGTAGCGGTGTAATGATACATTAGTCCGGATTGATATATCAGTTTAGTCATCGGCAATCCAGTATTATCAATGCAAAAGAATTGCAGCACAGAAATGCCAAATTAGGGGGCGTCAGTAGCATAGCGGATAGTGCTGGCGCCCCAGCATTGCCTCACAGGCTCGGTTCCTGCTTGCAGCCCTTTGCTGCATGTCAGTCCCGACTCTCTCTCTGTCTCCCCATTTCAGCCCACAAAAATAATCTTTAAAAAAAAAAAAGAAATGCCAAATTAGACTTCAGGTCATTTAGGAAAGTATTGGGTTCATTTTTATTTCTATTTAAAGTTTTACTTTGTAGGATTTTCTTTAAAAACAATGTATAGTCTCATACAAAGGTAATCCCTCTCAATCATCACTTACGACCCACTAGAGGTGCGTGGCTGTGTATTTATCTGCGAAGACTCTGCCCTGGATTTTCTTCTTTATTTGCTGCGGTTGGGACATGATTGGGCGTGTAGCCCCCCGGCCAGTAACAGCACACAGGTGAGTTCGGGACTTTATAAAAAGGAAGCCACCAGGTAGTAGCAGCATGCACCCAAGAGGAAGCTACGAATATCACCGACACAGCACTGAAAATTTGCAAATATAGCGTGGCAAACGCTCAGTGGACAAAGTTTCTGCAAAACTAGAGCGAATCTGGGATTGGCTTTTTCTTTCACTGGCGACCACTGAAGGAGAGGATGGGGATGAAGAGCAATGCAAAGTTGGCCCGTTTTCAGTTGGACAGGTAGGTGCTGTGATTAGCTTGGTTCACTCAATTATCGACTTTTCCATAGCAACAAACACGTTCCTATAATAGTAGTTAACAGTGTACATACAGTAGCATAAGAAGGAGGGGCAAAGTTTGATTGTGCTTACAAGCAATAATCGACAATTCCTGCATAGTATACCTTTAATTAGCTTTTAGAGTCATTGTCAGTTTCTGTGTGCTTGAATGTGGCAACACAAGTGTCAAAATCTAGGTAATGTGTGCTGTGACATTAAATTTGACAGAGTTAGGAACAGTGTTTTGTCAACATCACAGTTTGTTGTGGGTCATATTAATCTTGTCTCCTCTTTCTCATGAAAGTAATACCAAAAAAGCCATCTGAGTCTGTCATCTATTTCAAATGAAACTACATTTCAGTATTTCAGCAGCAGAACACAGATGAAATATGGACTGCACAATATACAATTCATTTTCCGAAAAGCCCATGAACTAGTTTTGCCCTCATCCGAGCAGCGAGGACTCAAATATTCACTTTAAACAGCAACCTCTGGCCCTTTAACTCAGATTACACTATTAAAGCATTACTGCAAGAAACATTCTGCTTCAGCCAAAGTTCACTTCACTGGAAAGCAATACCTGCCTAATGAATCACAGAGCTGGTAGACAGAGGGGGGGCTGGTACAATAAAATGACGTGAACATGTTGTGAGACAGAAAGGTGAGCAGAAGAATCAGAAAAAAGATTTGTATGAGCCTGAAGTCTGTATGAGTCAGAGTGAAATACAAAAGCAGAAAAACAACTGTCAGGGTGAGTAAGAGGTGCCCAAAAAGTTCCGGAGAACAGCATGAATCACAAGAGTTTAGGAGTGTGTTTACATAGAGGGCTGATGAGTCAATTTCTCAGTATTCTTGTCACTTGAGGCCAAAACTACACATGTCAGGAAATAACAGGCTGATCCAGATATGATTCCATGAAAGCTTCAAAGTGCAGAATGGGCAGGAGGAATCAGTGGCACACATTGATATATTACAGCCTGCATCTAGCTGGAATCAAAAGGGCAGCAAAGATGAAATTGCACAAAACATAAACAGACGTAGAAAGCGGTTTGAGCAGACACTGCCTCTCTGTAGTGCTTTCCAATAAATCTAAAGACAAACAGAGGCTATTCCTATGAAGAGATTATAGCAGGGTTATCTGAGGCGACGAGGGCAAAGGTCAACATGTGCACAGACAGTTTAAAAGGGTGAAAAAAATGCAGCACTGTTGGCTAAAGTCTGAGTATAACAGATACTGCAAACAAGAGACACTGACTAGCATTAACAGTTTTAAGTTGAAGGCCAATGCAGAGTGAAGTCTTCAAACATTTTCTCTCTCCTGACAGAAAAAAGTCTAGTTTCAAAGCCTAATAATGACTTAAATTTGTGCTTTAGATTCACCACAAGACATAAAAGTAATTTGTGGTACTTATTCATAGTCAGTGTATTACCTACACCTACAGTAGATGGTGGTCGGCAAGCCCCAAGTCTGGAGAGGCAGACTGGAGTCCAACACAGAAGCTAAATAATGTACTGCTGCGCACGGGTCAGCAGCAAAACATATTTCAGCTACTTAAAAAGAATCATTATTAGCTGAAGTACATACTAAATTTCTAATATTTTACCTCCCGCCAGACAATGATTTCCAACGGGGAAAGGAAATCGTTATATCGCTCTCGTCAATGCCAGACTCCATTGACAGAAACAGTAATTTAACATCGCTGAACACAGGAGCTGCCGGTTATGGTTTTGTGTGACTTTGGGGTTTAAAACGGTTAGTTTGGATTAATCAAAGCTACACAACAACACAACTAACTTATTGGGGCAATGATAGAGCAGCAGGTCTCGTGTTCAGTGAGCTAAAATTACTGTTTTTGTCAATGGAGTTTGGTGGCTTTGACGAGAGCATTGATGCGGAACTGAAGCTGTTAACATCTTCCCTGTCAGAACATTCTGTCTAAGGGAGACATAAAGAGGTGAAAATACTCTCAATATAGCGCAAACTTAAGCTGTTATAGATTTTATTTAGGGCTGCTAAAATATGTTATCCTGCTGCCCCTCATCCACAGCAGTATATTGCTTAGCTTCCGTGACCACTTCTCCAAATTTGGGGCATGCCAACAGAAATCTGCTGTATGCAATACATCAGTTATGGATAAGTACCCTATACAACCCCACTTCAAAAAAATCCAAACTATCCCTCTATTGGGTTAAATGTAAATCAGCTCAAACGTCATTGCTGCTTATTGTTAGTATTCCAGAAATGTGTGTTAGAGTGGAAAATATTGGAGAGAAGAATGCAGAGAGGAATGCAAATATAAGAAAAAACTGCTGAGTTTTATCAATGAGCCCTCGTGCAGCCACGGGAATCCACTACTGAGTGCAGCTTCTCAAAAGATTAGCTGCCATAACATGAGGACTAAAATTTGTCAAAGCCAAAGAAACAGACATAAACTCACTTAACATGTATTCATTTCCACAAAGGACTTTCAAAAACAGGTTTAGATTCTTCCACTCATGGGTGTGAGGGACAAAACTTTGGGGTTGGATTCAAGCCTTGGATGCTGCGGTTACATGTGTTACTGTGTCCGAGCCAAATGTGCCCCCACCAGCTACAACAAAAACCGGTGCCAAACATCTCCATTTTAAGCCATGAGTTGCGCTGGTGTTACACACTAATGGTCGGTCCGGTCTGTTAAAGCCCCGTCAAGTGACAAGCACCTGGCCCCTTCATACTCTCAATACGTGTTAATGTGTCAAGGATAACGTCAGACTGTGCTGGTGAAACAGTGTCACAGTGAACAAGATGTAATAAAACCCCAGAAGAAGTAACATGTCGGGAGTTTTTTGGCAGCAGTCACAAATTTTGTCCATTCGACAGCACAGCCCTGCTTTGACATTACACTTGAATTCAAAGTTTAAAGTGCCAAAATGTGGCTGCAGCAGTACCAACAGGACTCTACAGCAATATTTATAACTACAGTTCAGTCATACACTGCAATGGGCTGAGCAATATATCAATATTTATCTCTCTCGTGATCCTATCATGGGTTTTTGGAATATTCTGAGTCACGATACACAAATAAACGCTACACATATAAACATAACTAGAAAGCAATCTCAACTGACGCTGGCTCTGCTCTCGCAGCTGGGCTTAACCCAGCATGTCAGATTTCTCCCAGTAGGATTTCTGCATTCCTAAACAATGCCAGTTGAACCCATTTCCATCAAAACCAGGAACACAATTAAACAGTTTTCCAACCACAAACAGATACCATAATGATGTCCTCTGGTTATGCAACGCTACAATTTACTCCCAGTTTCATCAATGCAACACTGGTCCAGCGGCAACAGTTAAGACATCAATCTGATGCAGCACAAGCACAGTAAAAAAAGATAACATTTGGAGACTGGAGAAAAGTACTTTTTGGCACACTCTCACTCACACTCACCTGACAGGTCCACTGATGCCAGCTCCCAGCTTCTGTGTCCAGTTGATGTTGTACTCGTCTAGAATGGACGTCTCCTGTCGGGGAGAGAAACCACATTAAGCAGAACATCAGATGTTAGAGGAAAAACAATTAACAAACTGTCCAGATGTGGAGTGTTTTCCATTTCAGTTATCAGCATAGTATTTAACATGCAGCACAATAACCAGCCCACTGCCACCCATCCCCATGACAAAGAAAAAGGAGTTATGCACCAGAAAGACCATTCCAGATCATTGTCAGTACCTAGAGTATCAACAGAGACAGCTGTTTAGCATCATAAAGACTTCTCATCTGATTTTTAAACAAAATTCATGAGACACAAAAGAGTTTGTCAGTTTCTACTGAGTAACACTGCTGTAAATTCTTCCCCATTGTGTCCGTAGCTCTGGGTTGTGTAATATCTGCCTTAACCATTATCACTTGTCTATAGTGTATAATCCTTAATGCAGATTATTCTGGAGAAAAGACAGCCTGGCTGCTATAAAACACAGATGTCTAGGCGGGTTTAGCCACTGTTGCTTGTAAAAGGATTAACAAAGAAGGATGGGATGCTGTCCCAGAAGGAGGGAGAAAACCTTGGTAATCAACTGAATTAAAAATAGTGGAATTGAGTTTTTAGGATCAGACTTGTGCTGGATTTGAATACATATTTAGTTTGTCAGTATTTGCAACTTTGTGCTGTATTTGAGTAAAGAAACTTACGGGAACCATCCTCTTATAAAATCCCAAACTTAAAATCAGACAGTTATTAAATTAGCCTGGACCTTTTCCTCCTTTGCTGAGAATATATTGGTCTTGGCCTGCACAAAGCAGTTAATTGTGCGCCACTGCCAACAGGCACCATAATTTCTCCTCCCTATCACCGTCCTGGCCAGTCCAACCTGCTCTTTGTAAACACAAAGAGTCTGATGATAATTAGGATTCATGATGATTACGTAACGCAGGACGAGGGGCGCCTCAGCTGTTATAACTACCCTTGGGTGTGTTGCACCATAAACTTTACATCTTTAAAGGACTGCACCACGCCCAACAGTGGCAGATAGTGGGTCTGGTTTGAAGTGTGCCAGGGTTTGATACCAGGGAAAGTGGTTAAGCTCAAAGTTCACTAGCTAACCCTCTAATCTTTATTCATGATAACGGCCCCAGTATGTGTTGCAGTTCTCAGTACGTTTCCCTAAGTCAACCAAGCATTGGGTACATTCTGAACCCACTGTGAAAGCAGGGGGCCACTTGAGATCACATTTTACTGCTAGCATAAATGCTCGGGCAGTGACACATTGAGGGGAGCAGGCCAGGAACAAATCCCAGAGCCAGGGTGTACGGGAATATTGCCTGTAGGACCGTCACCATTCCAGACAGAGCCAAGCTCCACAGTAATGTTTAACAAGGGTAAAGCTTGCCATAACACATTGCTCATGATTCACAGTTCTACTATTTGTAGCCTACACAAGAACTCTTGTCAGAAGATGTCATGACGTATATCAATTTATGACAGCTCATGCAAGATTCAAATGTTCTTTATAGTGCAGCCTTCACTGGAAACATAACTGCAGCAATATGCAATGGAGTTCATGTGGGCGGAAGTATCATTGAAAATCATGTTGTATGAAACAAGGAAATGACAAAACAATAAAGCAAGGAAAGTCAGTGTGCAGCTGACATTCTGCAACAATGATTTAGACATAGTAACATATCCGGCATCAGTGTAAAAGGTTGCAGCTTTACTTGTTTAGATCAAGCTTCATTAAATCAAGACCAAAGATGGTTACTACTGCAGAAGTGGAAACTGCTGCAACGTCTACTTGCATCAAGATTCACATCTGATGATCAAATTACCTTGATGAACTTGTCTGCGTTGTTATCCTCCGACATGGTGCTGCACTCTGGACAGATAAAGTCTGCCTCGCCAATCTCAGACAGTTGACAGTAGACACAAAGCGTTTTTCTCTGACCTTCGCAAAGTTTTGGTCTTGCAACCCTGGGTTGAGCCAAGGCTTGTTATATTAATACTGATGACAAGACAAGGCCATTTGGGCAAAATGATATACAGCCACCGGTTAGCCAAAGCCCAGTTTCCTTCCCTTGGAGACCTGAAGCCCACCAGCCGGTACGGTGTGACGTTAGCTCAGGCCAGCAGGACTCACAACCTCGGGGTCCGACTCGCTCTTTCAGTCGTCTTAAACTCACTGTGGTGACCATGTAGAGTGCCAAACTCCGAGCAAGCTGACCAGAACAGTCGAAGACAAGTCCAATCTGGACTAGCCTACCACTTTTGGAGGCGCACCGAGCATGGGACAAGAGGTGTATTTTTAGCCAGCGCAATGAGAGCAGAGCTCTGCTAACACCGGGGACTGCTAGCTTGCTAGCAAGTAAGCGAGTGCCACTCCATCCCGCGGTCAGGGCAGATTATTACACAGCAAACGCAACCGTAAAAGGTGATGTGGACTAACGTTAACTAAAAATCACCCATACTATCCTCGATGAGCGCTCGGTTGATCTGACACGACGAGCACACCGTGTTCCCAGAAGCACAGCAGACTATTATGTCGTCGAGCCGAGCCTGCTAACGCGCTAGCTTGTTAGCTGAGGTGGCAAGTTAGTTTTCCAGCTCTACACAAACCCACAGGTGTTAACATTCTTCCGCAAGACGACGTAATAAAAATCAGCGCTCGTGCTGACAAATAACACCATCTCACGGATGAAAAGGGTTAACAGAGAATATTTTCAGAGGTGACCAAGTAGATACACACATCTCTGGTCTATTTTGCTAATCCCATAGCTGGTTGTCAGAGGGAATACACAACCCGAGTCGGCACTACGCAATAGCAGTCCGTGCTGAACGCCTGATTAAAAATCATCGACACGTTTCGTAAATTCTGACATTATGGGGAAAAACTTTGCCTTTTAAATCATTAAATGTATATTCCTAATACGTGTAAAACGTATATTGGTCAGTACATTTTTTAGATTAATTACTTTAAATTTCGATGAAACAAGCTTGGAACGGCCAGACTCCTTTGAGTCCTTGGGTCCTTATAAGGCCCCAGTTTTCTTTTTAAAAAGAAACTTTATTGACAGTTAACGTTTTGCACAAACAGTAAGGCTCACTTGTAAGGTAGTACTGAAATATTGTTGCATAACACACACAAATTAAATTAGAAGATATAAAAAAACTAAAATAAGTTAGTTCGAGGTACTTTGTATGTTGGAAAAGTCTGCATTTTGCTATTCATAAAATTCAAAGCAGCAATTAAGGTAAGGGACTGTTCTCTACTTATCAGAGGAAGGGGGTGGCTAATGTGTGACTTATTTATTAAATCTTGACCTTCCCCGAAGCTATACATATTTTTCCTTGAGCTTCCCTGGGGGAAAAATACACGACCCTCCCTCCACCATAAGCAGTCCCTAATCAATTATTTTTATGTTCACACCAAATGTAGGTATTGGGGCAAATGCGACAGACAAACAGCACGGGAATAACAGTTATCAATAAAGTAAACAGCTAATTTCTTAAGCAAAATGCAAATCCTCCTTACAAATCATAGTGATTTTTTTAATGAAATATCACAATTTTTTAGCAAAGATTTGGTTTTGTTTCCCAACAGAATTGTCTGTTGCACATGATGTGTACAAAGATTGTTGGAAATTTGAAAATCTGACAATTACTTCAGTTTTTACAATGGTGTGATTTTGGCAATTTTTAATGAAAGCATAAAAAGTGCAAACATCATTATCAAAATTAAATTCAATATGAATAAATGAATAGCAGGGTTAAAGAGTTGATCAATTTGAAATGCACTTCTTTCACCTTAAGAAGAACAGGCCATCAAATGTGGTTTGTATGCATCCTTTTTAATTGTGGATTCAAAGAATTTTTTGAAGACTAGAATTCTGAAATAAATCTGATGTGAAACACCCAAATAACTTTGAAACTGTACTTTCCCTGAAGTTAGACTGTTGATTAAAGGAGAGGGGAGGTATGGAAAAAGTGTACCTCACAGACATCAGGAGTCTAGTTGAAATTGCTTTCAAAACAGTGGAGAATTGTTATTATTGCTGTGAAAATTATATTTCGAATTGAAGTTCTCAAAAGAGAGAACATTGTCTGTGCCATCTAAAATGTTCATAACAGACTAGACACTCTTCCCATTCCATTCAGGGATTTGTTTCTGTGCACAATTCATCTGTTGTCCCAGAAAGCTGTATATTGGGTAAAGAGGTCGTGATTAAAAAGTAATTTCCAATACATAAGCGCCTGCTGATGAAACAGTGAGAGTTTGACCTGAAGTCACAAAGCAAGACAAACACAATACCACTTAATTTCCTAAAGATCTCTCTGGACACACTGCACCAAAAACCATTGTGCCATCAAGGTTACAGTCTTCATCATCTTTGACCCTTTTGTAAATGATGAGTTTTCTTTTTCCATTTTAGTTCGAAATTATTGTGGTTATTCATCTTTTTAATCTTCTTTGACAAAGCAATAGAATAAGCAGGGTAGATCTATCTGGACAAACTGCGGTCAAAATAAGTTAAAAGCTCTTTGTAACCATAAAATACATTTTGATTTAGGCAGAACTTTTCAAGGTTGTCATTTAAACTTTTAATTTAGTTCTCATTTTTAGTTAATTGTCTACATATTTAACTTTTGATTTAAAAGGGATTACTTGGTATCTTGCTATAGGGGACAGTCATAGCAAGTTAAAAAAACGTTTGTATTTCTCTTGCAGGACTCACATATGGGGATAATACTGGTCTTCAAACTGGTCCTCTATATTTTCTTCCTAGTGTTTTCCTTTTCATGAACACCTGAAATGAACACTTACCATTTTAGGCACACCTGTAGCCTACAATGCAGTGAAACAGCCCTGCAATTATCCCATCTTTATTCATTGTATAATCTTCAGTTTTTGTTGATATTGTGTCAGAGCGGTAGCCTATTGTATTTTGTAAGATCCATCAGCGGTGGCATCATATTGGACTTCTTTATTCTGAAAGGTGTTTCTATTATTTTTTCCACCCACTTTTTTCCACATGATGGGGACAAAATCTGTGTGCAGTAATTACTCCTATTTGAATCCCATCTGCGATGTCAATTCTTCAATACAAAAACTCAAATGCAGGTAATTTCCTGCATGTCTCCTGCTGATAGAAACAATGATTGAAAGTATTAATCAATGTTTTAAGCAGAAAACAAATTGATGCAGATAGTGCTTTAAGATGTAATTAGGATATAATGGGGGAAAAAAAGCATCTGACCTGTGGACATAGTCCCCTCATGAAGTCTGTAGGTGCTAATGTGGTCCTAAGTTAGATTTACTGGATCCTGGAAATGTGAAAAAGGACGATAAAGATTAATGTGTCATGTAAAATAATTAATTTTGTTTAGACCCTAGTTGTAATTGTGATAAGTTCCTTTGTATTTTTAATTTAATATTGATTTACTGCAGGTATTCTAGGTAGGCTATTTATAAATAGAATGGAGATACACTAAGAGTATCATATAGATATACAGCAGAAAAAACACCAAATGTAATTATATATACATGTGAAAAGCAATCATATCAAAAACCTGTCATGTAATTTTTTCATGTCTTGGGAAAAATGATGCCTATTTGACATGCAGTGCGTGTGTTTAAATTACATTTAAAATGAATTCTTCACCTCTCCTCCAGCTGCACAACCTTTAATATTGTGTAGATCATGAAATCATCAATATGTATTTATATCATTAAGCTAACATGCTGTTACTTTAATTTACCTGCGCAACCACTTCCCTATGTGCAGCTATCAGCTATCGTCAGGGTCAGACCACTTATTAGTGAGATGTGCATATTTCAAGTAAAGTGTCATCTTTATCAATCAGTCATATTGTAGCGTGTAAGTGTAGCTACCATCAATGTGCACACACAGGCAGCGTGCAAATGCAGTGTTTCTATGCGTGTGCGTCTGTGTGTGTAGTTTGTTCGCCGGCTCACGTGGATGCCACAAAACAGCCAGGGAAGATTCATGGACTTCCTGAAAATAGTGCCATGTTGTATGTGTAACTGCGCACAACAAATGCGTATCTATATGTTTCTTTTAGTACTCTATGTTAAATGTGATGTTATTTGTGTTTTTAGCAGACAGATGTTTGTGAGAGAACACAGTGTAATGGATATTTGGTTATATGTTATGAGCCGTTACGCCTTTCATATATCCCTCCGCTGTTTTTTGTCCCCTTTCAGACTGTTTTGGTCTTTTCGCTGTTAGCAACGGAAAGAACCCGAGATAGCTGTAAACCCTATTTTGAGATAATTGAATATTTTTGTTAGGATTACATAACAAATTGACAAGAGGTGTAACACCCATGTTTATTTTGGAAGAGTGATTGGCGCGTGTTGTCTTTTTTAAATATTATTTTTTTCCGTTTTAATAGGAATTGTACAGATTGCTAATTTAGATAGCAACTGTTAGCGAGCTAGCGTCCTAGCATAGCATCTTCCTCAAGAGGCACGTTGACATTACCGTTCTTGCTAGCTAGCCAGACCGTAGGACTGCTAACGTTAGCGAGCTGTCACACAATCACACATCGTCAAGAAATTGCGGTGTAAAGCTGGTCGTTTTACCACGCCGTCTTTTATGGGATCACCATGTCAATGAAGGCCGGTGGAAATCGCAGCAAGCCCGGCGGTGGCAACACCGCTGGTGCCACCGCCTCCGGTGCCGGAGGAAGCGGCGGGGGAAGACAGAATCTGGGCAGGTCTGTGAAATTAAAACGTCAACTTAGCGAAATAAAAACACAGCAGCGGTGGTTACAGTGGCCAGTTTTCAGTGCTTGGACACATTCGCTTCTAACAGCGGCAGTTTTGAGAGATGACATTCCCGTTAAGTGGTCCAAAACTAGTATGCGTTTCTGAACGTTATGTGGGCCTTGCGACGTGTTGGTCACCTAGCGTAACGTTATGCAGTTTAGCTAGCGAGGCCTGTCTGCTTGCCCCAATAATGTTGCAACTTCGACGTTACGTTGCCTCCTCTTGCATGGTAAATTAAACACAGCATTTGATCTCTGATGTATTTAGACACGTTTACATGGACGAACATTTCCCCACAAGTGTGTAGCAATGATGCTGCTCGCCAAGTTGCTGGTATCAGTTTACTATCAGCTTGGAGTCCATTTAGCCACCGTTAATTAGCCGTTTGACAGCCCATGCTTGTAATTCAGTGCACTTGCCTCATTCAGTAACACAGCGGCTAGCTAACGGGACAGCCTGCCGACTTTTTCCAACCTAGGGGACTGCGATAAAACAGCTGTGTTTGTTTTCATCTGACTGTCATTTAGGTTGGTACGTTACCGCAACATTGCTGCAACGGGTTTGCCAAGAAATTGTAATCGTAAACGTGTGGGCGCACGGAAGAAAGGGGCGGGTGTGGAGACGGGGTTGAGGAGGAGAAGGGGGAATTATAGACCGACGGGCTTTCAACCTTGACGTTGCCGTAGCTGCTCGTGTGAAATAGTGTCCTTGAAGCATGACATTTCTGCACGAGTCCTCCCTAAGATAAAGCTAACACGCACTGTCAGTGCAGGAGCTGCATGCGTATTGTGAATTTTGGTGGTGATAATTTGCTCAGGCTTCTATTCACCGGTCACTAGGACAGTGCGTCCCATTCATTGCGTAGGTTTCATCCATTAAGGCCGTGCAGAGATATTGTAAAATGCGATTGGACCAGTTGGACTGATGCATACAAAACCAGCCTATTTCAGACACTTGGATTGGCTCTATTTTTATAG